TTTTTTTTTATTGCATTTTAGGTTTTGGGGTACATTTGAAGAACATGCAAGATAGTTGCATAGGAACACATGTGGCAGTGTGATTTGCTGCCTTCCTCCCCTTCACCTATATCTGGTATTTCTCCCCATGCTATCTCTTCCCAACTCCCCACCCACCACTGTCCCTCCCCTATTCCCCCCAACAGACCCCAGTGTGTAGTGCTCCCCTCCCTGTATCCATGTGTTCTCATTGTTCAACACCCACCTCTGAGTGAGAACATGCAGTATTTCATTTTCTGTTCTTGTGTCAGTTGGCTGAGAATGATGTTCTCCAGGTTCATCCATGTCCCTACAAAGGACACAAACTCATCATTTTTGATTGCTGCATAATATTCCATGGTGTATATGTGCCACATTTTCCCTGTCCAGTCTATCATCGATGGGCATTTGGGTTGTTTCCAGGTCTTTGCTATTGTAAACAGTGCTGCAATGAACATTCGTGTGCATATGTCCTTATAGTAGAACAATTTATAATCCTCTGGATATATACCCAGTGATGGGATTGCTGGGTCAAATGGAATTTCTATTTCTAGGTCCTTGAGAAATCGCCACACTGTCTTCCACAATGGTTGAACTAATTTACACTCCTTTATTTTGCATCCCCTATTCCACTCAAGGAATCAAATACATACACAATAGTTACTAAATGCATGCTTAGATTAATAAAATAAATATTCATTATTATTTCATAGGTATTTCTGAAATATGAAAAAACTAACACTAATATGGTTTGGCTGTGTTCCCATCCGAATCTCATCTTGAATTGTAGTTCCTATAACCACCAAATATCATGGGAGGGACCCTGTGGGAGATAACTAAATCATGGGGGCAGTTACCTTCTTGCTGTTCTTGTGATAGTGAGTGAATTCTCATGAGATCTGATGGTTTTAAAAGGGGCTTTCCCCTCTTTATTTGGCACTTTTCTCTTCATGAAAGTGAAGTAATGTGAAGAAAGACATGTTTGTTTCTCATTCTGCCATAATTTTAAGTTTCCTGAAGCCTAACTAGCCATATGGAACTATGAGTCAATTAAACCTTTTTTTTAAAATAAATTACTCAGTCCCAGGTATTTCTTCATAGCAGCATGAGAATGGACTAATACAGTAAATTGGTACCACAGGGAGTAGGGTGCTGCTATAAATATACCTGAAAATGTGGAAGCAACTTTGGAACTGGTTAATAGGCAGAGGTTGTAACAGTTTGGAGGGCTCAGAAGACGACAGGAAAATGTGGAAAAGTTTGGAACTTTTTAGAGACTTGCAGAGGTCAGAAGACAGAAAGATATGGGAAACTTTGGAACTTTCTAGACACTTTTGAACAGCTTTGACCAAAATGCTGATTGCGATATGGACAATGAAGCCCAGACTGAGGTAGACTCAGATGTAGATGAGGAACTTGTTGGGGACTGGAGTAAAGGTCACTCTTGCTATACAAAGGGACCGGCCGCATTTTGTCCCTGCCCCAGAGATCTGTGGAACTTTGAATTTGAGAGAGGTATTTAGAATATCTGGCAGAAGAAATTCCTGCATAGCATAGCATTCAAGAGGAAACAGAACATAAAGTTTGAAAAATTTGAAGCCTGATGATGTGATAGAAAAGAAAAACCTATTTACTGGGGAGAAATTCAAGAAATTCACTGTAGAAATTTGTGTAAGTAATGAGGACCTAAATGTTAATCACCAAGACAATGGGGAAAAGGTCTCCAGGACATATCAGAGACCTTCAGGAAAGCTGTTCCCATCACAAGCTTGGGGGCCTAGAAGGAAAAAATGGTTTTTTCAAGTGGGCCCAGGGCCCTCCATTCTGTGCAGCCTGGGGACACGGTGCCCTGTGTCCCAGCTGCTTCAGGTCCAGTCATGCTGAAAGGGGCCAAGGTACAACTCATGCCATTATTTCAGAGGGTGCAAGCCCAAAGTCTTGGTGGCTTCTATGTGGTATTGAGGCTATGAGTGCCCATAAGACAAGAATTAAGGTTTGGGAACCTCTGCCTAGATTTCAGAGGATGTATGGAAATGCCTCTATGTCAGGCAGAAGTTTGCCACTGGGGCAAAGCCCCCATGGAGACCCTCTGATAGGGCAGTGTAGAAGGGACATGTGAGGTTGGAGCCTTCACACAGAGTCTGCATTGGGGCAGTACCTAGTGGAAGTGTGAGAGGAGGACCACCATCCTCCAGACCCCAGAAAGGAAGATCCACTGACAGCTTACACCCTGGGCCTGGAAAAGCCACAGACAGTCAGTGCCAGCCCATGAAATCAGCCAGAAGGGGAGCTGTACCCTGCAAAACCACAGGGACAGAGCTTCCCAAGGCTGTGGGAGACCATCTCTTGCATCAGTGTGTCCTGGATATGTGATACAGAGTCAAATTAATTAGATCATTTTTGAACTTTAAGATTTAATGGCTGCACTACTAGATTTTGGGCTTTAAGACTTAAGTATTTCCTTGTTAGATTTCAGACTTGATGGGCCTGTAGCCCCTTTGTTCTTGCCAATTTCTCCCATTTGGAACAGGTATATTTACCCAATACCTGTACTCCCATTGTATGTACAAAGTAACTAACTTCCTTTTGATTTTACAGGCCTATTAGTAGAAGGAACTTGCCTTGTCTCAGATGAGACTTTAGACTTCAACTTTTGGGTTAATGCTGGAATGAGCTAAGATTTTGGGAAAGGCATGATTGTGTTTTGAAATGTAAGGACATGAGATTTGGGAGGGGTCACAGGCAGAATGATGGTTTCACTGTGTCCCCACCCAAATCCAATCTTGAATTATAGTTTCCAAAATGCCCACATGTCATGGGAGGGACCCTATAGGAGGTAAGTGAATCATGGCGGCAGATACCCTCACACTGTTTTCCTGATAATAAGTTCTCATGAGTTCTCTAATGGTTTTATAAGCAGTTTTATTCCCCCTTTACTTGGCACTTCTCTCTTCTGTTGCCATGTGAGGAAGGTTGTGTTTGCCTCCCCTTCTGCCATGATTGTAAGTGTCTTGGGGCTTCCACAGCCATGCATAACTGTGAGTCAATCAAACCTCTTTTCTTTACAAATTAGTCTTGGGTGTTTCTTCATAGCAGCATGAGAACAGACTAATACAAATTCTGTACTAAATTTTACTAGGAATCACACTAGGAAAGGTCAAAGAAGAGATTTTGGACTAGGAATTCAGTGCTGGTTTATGTGACTCTCTAGGGCTAGTGTGTGGACACATCCAACAAAGAGCCATGTTTACGGATGGAGAGGCTGAAAAGAATGCTAGAAATTAGACAAGTGGCCCTCAATTTTGAGTGTGCTCCAAAATCATCCAGTTGGGGGCTTCATAAAGTAAAAAGTACCTGGCCCGACTTCCTGGGAATTTCTGACTTGTACATCTGAAATGGGAGCTGAGAATTTGCATTTCTAACCATCTCACTCCCAGGTAATGCTACTGCTGCTCATTCAGGTAACATATTTGCAAATTACTGACTTAGACCTTTCTTGGAGAGCTGGCCCAGTTCAGGGAATTTGAACAGGCTGCTTGCTCTGTGATCTGCACTGAAAAGAAGTTACTTCAGTGATTTCCAAGAGCAGTACAGAGATAATGTAACTAAGGGGATCTCAGAATATTGCTAAGGGTCTTTCTTCCCCCTGATTTATACACTGACTATAATCTGGCTGAAAAAGGAGAGAATGGCCTCAATAACTCAGATGTGAGTTAGAATCAACTGAAATAAATGAAGTGGAAGATAGAATGCATGGAATTGCCTCATTAATAAAGGTTAGACATCCCTGATCTAAAATCCAAAATGCTACAAAATTCAAAGCTCTTTGAGAACCTACATGATGCCACAAGTGAAAATTTTCATACCTGAACTTATCTGATGGGTCACTGTCAAAACAGAGTCAAAACTTTGTTTTGGTCACAAAATTATCAAAGATATTGCCAGAAATTGCCTTTAGACTATATGTTTAAGATAAACAGAAATGAATTTTGTCTATAGACTTGAGTCCCATCCCCAAGGTACTTCATTATGTAGATGCAAATATTTCAAAATCCAAACAAATGCAAAATTCAGAAGACTTCTGATCCCAAGCATTTTGGGTAATGAATATTTCACCTTTCAGTTAAACACTATACTTTCAGTTAAGTTAATATATTTTAGCAATGTAAGATCATGTACATTGATCTTACATATATCTAAGATAATTTATTTAATGTGTATACCCTAGAATATCTTTACTTCTGCAAAGAAAGTCTGTGCTCCTTACTTGACTGTTCCAGAACAAGGTAAAATGGGGAAATTGGAGAAATGTCAGCCCAGGGAAAGGGGAAAGTCCATTCACCTTAGACAAATGGTTTAGAAGAAACCATATCCATTCCCCATCCATAGACCTTTCACTTCAATTATTGCTATATCTCAGGTAAATAGCCTTAGGAAGTTTCTGAAAAAGTGGCAAGGGCTTCAGCAACCAGGTAGCATGGGGACGCATGTCACCTTATTGCAATACCGAAATGGAAACTACCTAAAATTTAGAACTGTTTTGATATGCTTCATTGTGCTCATCTAATTAGGTTTCTCGAATTTTAGATCTTGAGTACAAAGGTCGCGCATACTGTTTCGCGTTCCTTCCAGCTCAATTTCATATAATGTTGTAATCAAGGACTTGGGGAGACATTGGCATTTTTTTTCTTTACAGATTTTTTTTTTGCCAACAAAAAGGAGTAATGATATTACATTAAAATGAACTATGTCTCAAAATATAAAAACTTTTTGATAATCAAATGATTAAATATTCATATTTAATTTAATTTTTGTTAATTTGAATATAGAAATAAAAATCTGCTTGGTGATCCTTTCAAGGGAAACTGTAGCTCAGCTCATATATATAAAAAGCCACACAAAAATGACTCTGGAGATCGTGGCTACACGTTCAGCGGTCAAATATTTCAATGCTCTATCTATTGCTCTCGTTCCTGTTACAGGTACATGTGACAGCGCTGCAGCTATGAGCGGAATTTTAAAGAGGAAGTTTGAAGAAGTTGATGGCTCCTCACCCTGCTCCTCTGTGAGAGAATCAGATGATGAAGTGTCCAGCAGTGAAAGTGCTGACAGTGGAGACAGTGTCAATCCATCCACTTCTAGTCATTTTACCCGTGAGTACTGAAATCAGAACCAAAGTCAATTGTCTGGTTCTACAACAAAACTAATTGTGTCATTTTTGTTTTTGCCTTTAATTCCAGCTATGTATATTTTCCAAACAACCAAATACAAACTACAGTTACCCCAAAATGCAATATTTTCCAGGTGACTCAGTAGAGTCCTTTATTTAGAATACTTTTTGCAGTATATTATGTGATTGTGTTAACCAACTAATTGAATTTAAGAATCACATTTCATTATTAATGATTTTCCAAATAAACACCTAGTACTCTGGGAATAGATGAGGGAAGACAGATAATAACTCCAGTTTCAAATAAAGGTGTCCTTTCACAACTGAAATGATGTTCTAGGAGAAAACATTTTAAAAGGCATTAATAAGGAATGGAGAGTCTAGATTATGATTAGAAGAAATTTAGGCAGCCAGGGATTAGAAAGAGATGTGAAGGCAACAGGTGTCTCCCAAATGTGCAAGTGTGTGCAGTCCAGTGCCTCTTTCCTAATCATTCCTCTAGTCTCTCTTCTTTGAGGTTAATATTTAAAGCCCAACAAGAAACAAATTTTATGCTTTATTTTGTTTTATTTCATTTTTTTGAGATGGAGTCTCACTCTGTCGCCCAGGCTGGAGTGCAATGCTGTGATCTTGGCTCACTGCAAACTCTGCCTCCCAGGGTCAAATGATTCTCCTGTCTCAGCCTCCTGAGTAGGTGGGACTGCAGGCCCACAGCACCACGTCTGGCTAATTTTTAAAATTAATTATTTATTTGTTTGTTTTGTATTTTTAGTGTAGATGGGGTTTTACCATATTGGTCAGGCTGATCGCAAACTCTTTACCTCAGATGATCCACCCACCTCTGCCTCCCAAAGTGCTGGGATTATAGGCATGAGCCACAGCCCCCGGCCTATGCTTTCTTTTTGATTCCTTTTTTTGCCACAATGTAATGTCAGCCCTTCTGTCAGGCAAGATAAAAGGAGGTTTGAAGGACTAATACAAAAAATTATTAAGGCAATGTAATCTATAGTCTAAAGGAAACTGACTAGCAATAGTTAAATAATCTTTTTAAAATTTATGTTTCTTAAACAGGAAGATTTTAATATGTTTTAATATCATGATAGATAACTAGTCTTTTTTTTTACTTTCCAGTTAGTTAATGTTATTAATATATGACTCTATAACAAAGAATTGACCTTGGCAACGTCGCAACTCCAAAAACTAAATGATTTAAACATTTTTTTAAGAGGTAATAAGAAACTCAATAGCTGTTGAACATGAAATAAATATAGCAAAATCAATAGCATTCCATTAAACAAGCACAACTAATTAGACAATATGATGAAAAGATTACAATTATTATAGCAGAAAAATCATAAAATATTTAGAGACAAAATTATGGTGTGATGTAGGTGGTCTACAAATACTTTGACATATATCCATGATAGTATAAAATGAGCTTATGAGCTGGGCGTGGTGGCTCACACCTACAATCCCAGCACTTTGGGAGGCTGAGGTGGGTGGATCACGAGGCCAACAGATCGAGACCATCCTGGTCAACAAGGTGAAACCCCGTCTCTACTAAAAATACAAAAACTAGCTGGGCATGGTGGTGCATGCCTGTAGTCCCAGCTACTTGGGAGGCTGAGACAGGAGAATTGCTTGAACCCCCGGAGGCGGAGGTTGCGGTGAGCTGAGATTGTGCCATTGCACTCCAGTCTGGGTGACAACAGCAAAACTCCATCTCAAAAAAAAAAAAAAAAAATGAGCTTATGCTTTTGACTCAAAAGAAGAGATGTACTTATACTTTTCATCTTAATACTAGTAGTGATAATATTATCTCATGGGTTTCTGTAAAGATCAAACAGAGCAAGTGAGATAATACACATGAAAAACACTTTGTAAAATGTCAAGTACTGGGAGATGTTAAATTAAAAATTATGATCATAGCTAATATGTATTGGATATAGGCTATGTTCCAATAGCTTTATATACATTATCCGTACTCCTTACAACAATTCTGAAAGTAAGTAGTACTGCCTCCACTTTACAGAGGAAACAACTGAGGCTCAGAGAGGCTAAGCATCTGGCACAAGATCACACAGGAGTTGAGCCTAGATATATACACATTACCTCTACCCATCGCATGGTCTCTACCTGTTGCATGGTTATTTTGCCCCTTAATTATATAATATTGGACATATCTTTAAAATGTTTTTTCTTGTGAGTTATAATGGAAGACTTGAGTTATTTAAGAGGCAGATTATGTTTCCAGATATAAAGACAATGCCATTAATGGTTTCAACATTAATTTATAAGTATAAGAGAAAAACTGAAATAAAATCTTCAACTGGCATTTCTTAGGTGACAGAATGATAAAAACTGATTTGGAGAAATAAACTAATGAGAATAAAAAGATATTTTTAAAAAGAAGCCATAAATGTTGAAAAGCCATTCTAGATATCAAATTATAGTAGAAAACAATGTAACTGATGTTTTTCATAATGTGCTCTATTTAGGAACCAAAATATTATATAAGAAAAATTTACATATATAAGAAAAGAGCATTATAAGAAAATGAGAAAGAGAAAGACTATTTAATAAATGGTCATGGAGATAAGAAATTTGAAAAAGAAGTGACTTAGACTTATATCTTACAATATAGGCCAAAATACCAGATAGATTACATGGATAAATTTTTTCATTAATGAGGAAAGTTGCATTTTGCCAGACATTTAGCAGAATTACTATATAAACTTTGATAAAGAGAAGAAAAAATAATCACATTAAAAATACTGAATATATTTGATGATGTAAAAATATTAAACTTATCTGCTACTTAAAAAAACAAAGCCCAAAGTAAAACAATTTATATTGGAAAAAATATGTGCAGTTAATATAGTATTATTTTCGGTTCAGAGCATAGCAAAAGTACATGTAATTTCTTGAGATAAATAAGAAGATATGCATCTTTAAAGTAAACCCACATAGTAGGAAATATGATTAGCAAATATTTTAAAGCAATTAACAACAATAACAAAAATGCAGACTAAAAATACTAATGAGTTTTCATTAGTATGAAATCATAGACATTTCACCCCTTGAAATTGGTACTCATTTCTCCAATTTAAAAAATACTAATACGTAAGTGCTGGTGAAGTTTGCAGTACATTGTGGGCACACACGTCTATTAATGGAATTGATATTTAAAAAGCACTTTGGAAATACAAGAGCCATAAAAATATTCATAAGTCTGTACTTCAGAGAATTTTTCTGAAGAGAGAAACATTAAAATCAAGGTGAAGACTGTATAAATGAAAATATTTGTGGTTGATAATAGTACCGAAAAAGAGGGTTGGAGAGGAGGGAGAGAAAGGACCATGTCTAAGAGTGAGGAAATGAGCCATGAAGTTATGGTAACATATTCATTAATTTATTTTATTTACAGTTATGAAGAGCTTCTGGCATTATGTACAATGTTTGTGAAATAACGATAAGGAAGAAAAGCAGAACACGATATTTTATCTATACTGTCAGGCAAAGTCTAAGCCTATGCCTGCACAAAGGAAAGAATGGCAGGGTGTCCCAGTAACTGGAAACAATTTGATTCGTTGAGGAATTAAAATTACAAATAAATTTTTATATTTATTAATTTTTATTTCTGTTAATTTTATATGTGTTCTCACAACAAAGTAGCCAATTTAAACTGCTAAAAATTATAACTGTAGTTCATATTGTGTTTATGTTTGCAAAACAGCAGATTGAAATGGCATGATAAGCTATGTATCAGTCAACAAATACAGACTTTGTTATAAGTTATGTTCAACAGAGTTTTTTTTTCATTGAAGAAAATAGACTTATTTTATGATGTCTAAGAAGTCATTGAAGTGTTTCAGCTCATCATTTAATATCAGTGGCAGTGGCAATGATTAGTTTATAACATGCTGTTTTAGCTTTGTATTAAATAGAATCTGGCAGGGATTTCTCTTGCTTTTTAAAAATAATTAAGAAATGATTTAATAAAGACTGCTATTTTCATTTAGTACCCTGCTTTGTTCACTCTATTTACATTATGAAGAGATATAAAGTGGGAAAAATAGTAAAGAATCAAAAAACAAAAATTCTAGCTGGAATATTTGTTGCAGAAAACATTTGAGAGGTTGGGCACAGTGGCTCATGACTATAATCCCAGCACTTTGGGAGGGTGAGGCAGGAGGATTGCTTGAGCCCAGGCATTTGAGATAAGCCTGGGTAATAACGTGAGATCTCTATCTCTAAAAAAATTTTTTTTTAAAAAATAGTCAGTTATGGTGGTGCATGCCTGTGGTCCCAGCTACTTGGGAGGATTGCTTGAGTCCAGGAGGTTGAGGCTGCAGTGAGCCATGATTACACCACTGCACTCCAACCTGGGTGACAGAGTAAGAGAAAGAAAGAATGAAAAAAAAAGAGAAAGAAAAAAAAGGAAGGGAGGGAGGGAGGGAGGAAGGAAGGAAAGAGAAAGAGAAAGAGAAAGAGAGAAAGAAAGAAGGAAAGAGAGGAGGGAGGGGAAAGAAGGAGGAAAAGAAAAGAAGAAAGAGTGAAGCAAAGATTGGAGGTGGGTTTTTGTTTGTTTGTTTGTTTGTTTGTTTTGTTATTTTTGTTGTTGTGGTTGTTGTTGTTGTTTTAAGACAAGGTCTCACTGTTACCCCGGTAGCTGGGTCTACAGGTGCATACCACTACCTACTACTCTGGGCCATTTTTTGTATTTTTTATAGCGATTGGGTTTCATCATGTTGCCCAGGCTGTTCTCAAACTACTGAGCTCCAAAAATCCCCCTGCCTCAGACTCCCAAAGTGCTAGGATTACAAGCATGAGCCACAGTGCCCAACCTGTGATCTAAGTGTTTTAGCCAGTGTGGGAGGAGTAGCTAATAGAGTTTTTTGTTTCTAGAAATGTATTTCATATCATTTGCTAGTCTAAAAATTGATACATCAATGTTTACAACACTTTTTATTTATTATGTTG